AAAAAAAAAAAAAAAGACTGCATTAAAAGGCTTGGCGCCTGTAGCTCCAGCTCCTTGGGAGGCTGAGACAAGAGAATCACTTAAGCCCAAGTTTGAGATTGCTGTGAGCTGTGATGCCACTCTACCCAGGGCCACATAATGAGACTCTGTCTCAAAGAAAAAAAAAATCTCCAGAAAAAAGAAAAAAAGGAGGATAGATGAAACAAAACTGTCAAAACTGGATGATAAGTACAGAGGGATCTGTTACTGTGACAGTTTTATTATTTTATTTTTAGTCCATTTTTCTCTTTTGTTTTTATTTGTATATTCCACAATTCTTTTCATGTTTACCCTGGAAATAACAATATGCATCCTTGATGTAGTAATCTGCCCTAAATGAATACTTTGGGTTTACCACCCACTAAATAAGGGAAGAATCCTTCCAACAGTATAACCGCATTTACCTCCCTCCAACAGTCTGTGCTATTGTTACCGTTAGATGTTGAAAGGTGGAAAGGTCCCCCAGAGAACAAGGCCAACAGGAGAGATTTATTAAGAGACCAGCAAGCAGATAGGCTGCCCTGAAAAATGGAAGATGGTAACAGCCACCATTGCAGTTTTACAGCACACCTACAAATTCTTGATCCTCTTTCATTGTGAGGTGGTGTCTATGACTCTTTTCCTTGAATCTGGGCTGGCCTTAGTGACTGTAAGGGTAGGTTGGCCTTATTTGTGAAGCCTAATTGCTTTTAGCATATGGAAGTATTTTTTCACACTTTCTTTGTATAAAATTAGTATTAAACTTAAATATCTTTTTTGAAAAAAAAAAAGATAAATAAAAAGCAATGTTGTTTCAGCCTGGTTCACGGGAACCCTCATGCTGGAATCTCATGTAAGCACCCTACTACCCTGAGGCTACCTGCTATGAGGAAGCCCAAATTAGCTCTTAGAAGGTGCCACAAGGAGAGGCTCTGAGCTGACAAGAGAAGGGAGGGAGAAAGATTGGTTCAGATGATAAACAGATAAGATGGATCAGGTACACATAACCCCACTGCTCAAATCCCCACCCTACAACATTCTAACTCTAACTACCGCAACAACCATGAGCCCCTGAGATAGGCTCCACAATACATATCCACAAGGGCGGAGCCGAAGCCCTTCTAAATTCTTAATCACAGAAATTGTAAGACACATACCCACTAAATTCTGGGGTGGTTTGTTTTGCAGCAATAGAAACTAGAATAATTATACATATCACTTTTGTGTATGCTCAAAATTTTCTATAATAAAATGCTTTTGAGGTTCAGAAAATATTAAGTTACCCTATAAGAAATTTTTGGAAAAACAAAACAAAAAAAAGGTGGCACCTGTGGCTCAGTGAGTAGGGCACCAGCCCCATATACCAAGAGTGGCAGGTTTGAACCCTGCCCTGGCCAAATTGCAGCAAAAAAATAGCCGGGTATTGGGGTGGGCACCTGTAGTCCCAGCTACTCGGGATGGGGGCTGAGGCAGGAGAATCGCCTAAGCCCGAGAACTGGAGGTTGCTGTGACTGGTGATGCCACAGCACTCTACCAAGAGCGATAAAGTGAGATTCTGTCTTTAAAAAAAAAAAAAAGAAAGAAATCTCACATTGTAATCCTAGCACTCTGGGAGGCTGAGGCAGGTGGACTGTCTGAGCTCACAGGTTCGAGACCAGCCTGAGCCAGAGAGAGACCTGTCCCTAAAAATAGCTGTGTGTTGTGGCGAGCACCTGTAGTCCCAGCTACTTGGGAGGCTAAGGCAAGAAAATTGCTTGAGCCCAAGAGTTTGAGGTTGCTGTTAATTATGATGCCATAGCACTCTACCAAGGATAACAAAGTAAGACTTTGTCTCCAAAAAAAAAAATTGCAATGTGTCAGACTTTGTACTAGTTTACATAAATTCAATCTTTATAAGAAGCCTTTAATTATTTATTTTTGAGACAGAGTCTCGCTATGTTACCCTCAGTAGAATGCCGTGGCGTCACAGCTCATAACAACCTCTAACTCTTGGGCTTAAGTGATTCTCTTGCCTTGACCTCCCAAGTAGCTAAGATTACAGGCATCCGCCATAACACCTGGCTATTTTTGTTGTTCTTGTTGCAGTCGTCATTGTTGTTTAGCAGGTTCAAACGTGCCTGCCTTGGTGTATGTGGTTGGCACCCTAACCCTGAGGTATGGGTGCCAAGCCAACACAAGAAGCTTTTAAACTAAGGTATCATTACTGTTAATACAGACAAACTAAATTATTACTATTATTACTGCATTATAGATAATAAACTAAGCATATAAATGTGAAATACCTAGGACAAGGCACGAGGATAAGGCAGAGCTAGGATAATTTCTTTCACTGACTCAAAGTTCTGGCATCTACTCACTTGCCTCTCCACCCCAGTCCCACCCAGGTCTAGCCCACACCCCTCAGTGACTCTTACTATTATGCCCTAGACCTCCCTCATCCATCATCATCACCACCTGGATTTGGCCTGCTCTGAGATCACTAGCTTACATGTGGCATCCTCTCGCTTTCTGCCCAGCCCCTCACCCTTGAGCTTACAGAACATATGTTCAATTACTCCCTTACACTGTTCTTGGACCTCATTAGGTTCTTCAATTCACCACCTCTTCATCAAATACTATTTTTACAGCTTAGAGTCCATGGTCTTTACCGGAGAAAAATCTTAAAACCAGGCCTATCAATATCATTCTGTATTTCAATCCTAAACACTGCATGACAATCCTACTGCTATCCCAACCAGCTCATCTCAAACTATACAACAAAATAGTTTCAGACTGCCATCCTCTTCAAACCTCTAAACCTGAGATCTCTAATCCTCAGGCCATGGAGGACCAGCATTGGTCTGTGAGGAACCAGGTCACATAGCAGTTCAGGGGCAGACAGCAAATGAAGCTTCATCTGTATTTACAGTTGCTCCCGACTGCTCACATCACCACCTGAGCTCCACATCCTGTCAGAGCAGTGCAGCATTAGAGTCTCACAGGAACATGAACCCTACTGTAAACTGTGCATGTCAGGGAACCAGACTGCCCCTTCCAATGAGAATCTAATGCCTGATGATCTGAGGGGGAGCTGAGGCAGTGATGGAGTGAGGCACTAGAGAGTAGCTGCCAAGTATAGGATGGGATCGTTTAAAACAAGCTCGGGGCTCCCACTGATTCTGCATTATGATAAGTTGTGTAACTATTTAATTATATATTACAATGTAATAATAATAGAAATAAAGTGCATAATAAATGAAATGTGCTTGAATCATCCTAGAACCACCCCTCCTTCAGCCAACTGTGAAAAAATTGTTTCCATGAAACCCCTTCCCTGGTGCCAAAAAGGATGAGAACTGCTGCTTGCTCTAAACCATTCACCATTCATTCTCCTTTTCATTAGATGACCTTGCTTTTTAAGTCATAAGACAGCTTCTGAAAATGATCTCACTTTCTAACTCACAGAGAAAACAAATCAATTTTCCAGGAACACAGATAAACCTGCTTGCCTTCATACCTTTCTTTTCCCCCTTTAATACAGGGTGGACGTAAAGATCGTGTGTAATTTAAAATAGTTGTAACTTTAAAACCGCACACAAATTTTATGTCCATCCTGTATAATTTATTTCTTTCTTCCTTTTTTTTTTTTTTTTTTCCCATTTTGAGACAGTCTCACTCTGTGGCTCAGGTTATAGCGCTATGGTGTCAGTCTAGCTCACAGCAACTTCAAACTCCTGGGCTCAATTTTCTGGCCTCATCCTCCAGAAAAGCTGGGACTACAGGCATCTGCCACAATGCCTAGCTAATTTTTCTATTTTTAGTACACACAAGAATCTCACTCTTGCTAGGGCTGGTCTTGAACTCCAGAGTTCAAGTCATCCTCCTGCCCCCATGCCTCCCAGAGTGCTAGGATCATAGGAAGGAACCACTGCACCTGGTCCTCTTTACTATAATTTCAACAGAAGTGTCCCTCACTGTAAGGCCAGTACTTATACGTAAGCTCTGAATCATCATTACTCCCATTTTCTCATCAACATTTCGACATACTCATGTTTCTCTTATCCTAACAAACCAACCAAACAAACAAAAAAGCCCTTTTGGGTACCCTGTCATCCACCTCAGGTAGCTACCTTCTATCTCCTTCACAGCCAAACTTCCCTTAAAACAATTACGGACATTTGCTGTTCTCATTCCTTTACTTTCCACTTACTGCAGCAGCATCCCATCCTGGACTTTATCCATATCTTTTTTTTTTTTTTGAGACAGAGCCTCAAGCTGTCCCCCAGGCAGAGTGCTGTGGCATCACAGCTCACAGCAACCTCCAACTCCTGGGCTTAAACGAGTCTCCTGCCTCAGCCTCCCAAGTACCTGGGACCACAGGCACCCGCCACAATGCCTGGCTATTTTTTGGTTGTAGCCGTCATTGTTGTTTGGCAGGCCTGGGCTGGATTCGAACCCACCACCTTAGGTATATGTGGCTGGTGCCTTAGCCACTTGAGCCACAGGCGCCAAGCTGATACATTCCATTTTTGAGATGGAATCTCAGTTTATTACCCTCAGTAGAGTGCATAGCAACACAGCTCACAGCGACCTCAAACTCTTGGGCTCAACTGATTCTCTTACCTCAACCTCCCAAGTAGCTGGGACTACAGTTGCCTGTTACAACGCCTGGCTATTTTTTTAGAGATGAGATCTTGCTCTTGCTCAGGCTGGTCTCAAACTGATGAGCTCAGGCAATCTACCCACTTCGGCCTCCCAAATGCTAGGATTCTAGGTCTAAGCCACTGCACCTGCTGACTTTATCTGTATCATTCCATTCAAAGGTCACTAATGACCTCTAGCTGGCAAATTCAGAAAATAATTTCTGGCTGAGTGCAATAGGTCATGGGACCTGTTGTCTTAGGCAGGTTTGCACAAATAGGTTAAAGTGCAAAACTCAAATTTAAACTACCTGTGGACCAGAGGGCATTGTGCCATTCTATGGCTCTTTTATAAGCTGCCCCTAAGCTAGTTAGACAAATAAAAAACACAGCCATTGTTTTTTTTTTTGAGGCAGAGCCTCAAGCCGTCCCCCTGGGTAGAGTGCCATGGCATCTCAGCTCACAGCAAACTCCAACTCCTGAGCTCAAGCGAGTCTCCTACCTCAGCCTCCCAAGTAGCTGGGACCACAGGCACCTGCCACAACGCCCAGCTATTTTTTTTTTGGTTGCAGCCATCATTGTTGTTTGGCGGACCCAGGCTGGATTTGAACCCGCCACGTTAGGTGTATGTGGCTGGCGCCTTAGCATTTTGAGCCACAGGGGCGGAGCCAACATAGCCATTGTTAATAAGACAGGATAGATGAATGGGAATACCTAAGTTCATAATCACTTCCAAAAAAAGTGAAACAATTATTCTGAATTTGTATCTTAATGTAGGCTTTTGCCTTTCTAAATCAATTTCACTAGTACAAAAATAAAGAGAGGAAAAGTAAAAGTTACAAGGTATTTCTCCCCCCTTACTTTCAAAGTATTCAGTTCAGAAGACTCAGTGGCATACAAATGTCATTCCATAAAAATATACCTTTCCCTGGATACTTCATCTGGGATACCCAGGCATATTTCTCGGTCGAACCTTCCTGCCCGTCGCAAAGCAGGATCTAACGAGTCTGGTCGATTAGTAGCTCCAATAACTAGGACCCGAGCTGTCGCAGCCACATTATTCAGATCTGGTAAGGACCAGACAGAGAATGAGTGATGAATAGTATACTTAACATTGAGGGCAATAATGTTTCCACAAATCATTTAATGATCAGAAAGTATTACACATTTTGACAGCAACATATACATATCTACAACTGACTATTAAATGTTAAATATGTAAAAAATGTGAGGAAGATAAAATATAAACTTTGTCCTTAGCAGTTAACAATCTGTTGAGAAAACATTAAGTGTGTATATAGGAAAATAGGACATACGACAAATTCTGTGAAGTGTCAAAGTGATATAAACAAAGTGCCATGGTAATACAAAGGACAATATAATGAATTTCAACTGCAGAATAAAGGGTTCATGGAGGTGGTAACATTTGAAGAAAAGCTTTGAAGGGTACATATAATTTTAATAATCAGAGATGAAGGTTAATGAAATTCTATGTAGAAGAAATAGTACGAATAAAAGCACAGAGGTTAGCACATGGACCCACATGTAGGCAAAGGGAGCAGTACAACAACAGGAAGTCTGGGGAAGAACAAGTATTTTATGTTTCAGAATAAACTGACAAAAATAATTTGAGAATAATACAAAATAGTCTTCAGCTGTCTAGGGAAAGATTTTTAGGAATGAATAGATACAGGGCTCAAAGTTTATCTTTGCTAAATATTATTTGTCTCAAAGGAACCAGGACTGAACAGCAGGGAGTCTGAGATCACAGTCCCTCACATGGAACAGTATGGCAGTAAGATGCTAATTAGTCATGAAGATTCTATACAACAGATTCTTTAGCCAGCGGAAAGCCATGAAAGGTTTTTCTCAGAATATGTGTATAGGCCTTCAAAATGTGGCAGGACATTTTTGATAAAAATAAAACAGAAGAATAAGCAACCTGCAACCCAGCACCACAAGGAACACAAAATATGTATTAATGCAAATTTTCTTGTATATTCAAAACATGTGCTCTTTCAAAGTAGGTATGATCCAGCCAACAATCATACCCACATAAGACAATGGACTTAAGGCTGGGTGTGATGGCTCATGCCTATAACCCCAACACTCTGGGAGGCTAAAGTGAGTGGACTGAGTTCACAAGTTCAAGACCAGCCTGAGCAAGTGAAAGCCTGATAGCCAAGCATGTGGTGGGCGTCCGTAGTCCCAGTTACTTGGGAGGCTGAGGCAAGAAAATTGCTTGAGACCAGGAATTTGAGCTTGCTTTGGGCTATGAGACCACAGCACTCTATCAAGGGTAACAAAGTGAGACTCTGTCTAAAAAAAAAAAGACAATAAATTTAATTGATAAATGTGTGTTCTGACTGTTCCACTAACCAATTGTTCCCTCATGTCTCTCCCTCTCCTCAAGCCTTCCTATTTCCCAAGATACAACAATATTGAAATTAGGCTAATTAATAACCCTATAATGGCTTGTGTTCATGTGAAAGTCTTTCACTTTAAATCAAAAGCAAGGAATGATTAAGCTTAGTGAGGAAGTCAGGTTGAAAGCTGAGCAAGGCCAAGGTGAGGTGCTCCGTGCTAGACAGTGAGGTTGTGAATACAAAGAAAAAAATTCTTGAAGGAAACTAGAAGTGCTACTTCAGTAAACAAACTGATAAAAAAGAGAGCCAGCCTTATTGCTGATAGAGAGAAAGTATCAGTGGTCTGGATAGAAGATTAACCAGATTCCCTTAAGCCAAAGCCTGATCCAGAGTAGGCTTTAACTCTCTTCAATTCTAGGAAGGCTGAGAGAGGTAAGTGAGGAAGCTTCAGAAGACAAGCTGGAAAGAGCAGAGGCTGGTACATGAATTTCAAGGGAAGAAGCCATTTTCATAAAATAGAAGTGCAAGGTAAAGCAACAAGTGTTAATATAGAAGCTGCAGACAGAAGACAGAGCTAATTATCAATGAGGAAGGCGTTTAATACCAGCATTAAACAACAGATTCTCAATGTAGACACAACAGCCTTCTATTGGAAGAAGATGCCTTCTAGAACTTCTATAACTAGAGAGAAGTCAATGCCTAGCTGGAAACTTCACAGGGCAGGCCGATTCTCTTTGGGGGATCTAATGTAGCTGATGACTGTTAAGTTGAAGCCAGGGCTTATTTACTATTGTGAAATTCCTAGAGTCCTTAAGAATTATGCTAAATCTACTCTGCCTGTGCTGTATAAATAGAACAACAAAGTTTGGATGACAGAACATCTGGTTACAGCATGGTTTACAAAATGTTTTAAGCCCACTGTTGAGAACTACTGC